TGCTTCAGGGTGAACAGACATTAGTGGCAGAAATGTTATTTTGCAATCCTGTCTACTAAGTGAGTAATTAAGTAATACAATTGCAAACTAGTGTCATGGTTATATGCAACCTATAGGGGTGTCTTAGTAACTAGGTGAAACTATAGGGGATTAAGTAAATGACCTTTTTTTGTTCTTACACTTTCCGTTGATGTCCTTAATTACTTGATTCTAGGGCAAATAAAGTTGTTCTAGCAAGAGAATGAAGAGTTGGAAGCAATAGGACTTGTTTGCAGCTTGCAATTTGCAATGATATTATCATCTTTTGTGAGGTAAGGGGAAGGGGTTGAAGCCTTCACCTTTTGATCAAATGCATTGAGAACCTTTCAAATTGAAAGTAAACCTTGGGAAAAGTTGCATTGCAGGAATTTCCTTGGGTGAGGCAATTAGGCTATGTTTTGTTTAAAGGAAAATGTAGGGAAAGGTAGGGAAACCTTTACAGACCTTGTATGGGTTTCCCTACCTTTCCTTTCCTTTCCCTATTTTTTCCTTCAAACCAAACACAGCCTTATTGTTAGATATGCAAAAATTTTGGGCTGTGCAATGTCTAAGTGGCCACTTAATATCTAGGGCTTCCTCTAGATGGCAACCATAGATTTTTGAACCCTGTCCTTGATAGATCTTCTAAGAAGCTGGCCCAGTTGGAAGAGGAATTGTATTTCTTTCTGTGGAAGAGGTACATTAATTGAGTCCACTTTCGCCAACGTGTGCTGATTTATTTTCTATCCATGCTCAAAATGCTTGTCCTAATTGTGAAAGGATTGGAAAAATAATAGAGGCTTTAGGAAGCAGCTGATTCCAAAAAGAGGCCATCTACTTAGTTGGGCTTATGGTGTGTTAGGTCCTTAAGTTTGCTGGACTTGGAGCAGGTTATTAAGATACTCCTAGATACAACTTAAAAAAATAATAATAAAGAAGAAAAAGGGCTTTCTTTAAGCCTGGTTAGTTCTATTGGTGGGCTGAAACATTTTAGTAAAGAAAGAGGTCTGCAGTCTAGTTTAGTGAACAACATGCCCCAAGTTAATTGGGTTTGTTTGTAATGCAATAAGCATTTAATGGGCCTACAGTAGAGCCCATTTAATGGAACAGTAGGCCCTAAAAGAACAAATCTATATTTGTTATTTTCTTGTGAGGTATCCCACTTATTTATAAGGGGATGCCACTTGTCCTATTCTAACAAGAGGGCTATTTTCCCTCCTTTAACCACGAAGTGGGGGGGGGGGACACATGTCACCCTTGGGGAGAGAGAACACACACTTTTCACCTTAGGAAGGAATAGTTTTCTTTTCCCTCCCTAACCCATTTTAAGTGGGGGTGACACTTGGAGAAGGGTGGAGAGTTACTTAACTACCTCCCTCCTCTATATAAACCCCTCTCCTACAAGGAGAAGGGTTTAATGCCATTTTGTTGGCTAATACTAATTTATTGGCAGGATTTCTAGCACTAAGAAACAAGTGGGAAGAGAAAAGAGAAGAAGATTGGTGTGGAGAGCATAAAAGAGAAGAAGAGGAAGGTAGGGAATCTTGTTTTCTTCCTACAGCCCTTCAATATGATACTCCTTGTGCTTMCCACATGAGATGGAAGACCATATTCTTTCTATTCCTTTCTCCCTTCTTTTTTTTTTTCTTTTTTCCTTGTCTATGAAACTTGGCTAATTATGGTTCCTTCTTTCATTTTGACCTCGAAAATCATTACTTTATGTGAGGTAGACAACTATCTACAGCCTTGTTCATGAAACTTGGCTGATTATGGTTCCTCACAGCATGATAATGTACATAACTACAAAATTTAAAGGCCGTTTGCAGCATTATTTATGAAATATGACTATTTATGATACCTATTTACTTGTTATGTAATAAAAAGTTTATTTATTTGCTGGTTTTCTCTCAAACAAAAAGGGAATTATATACCAGAATTTTCAAAGAAAAATTCTGTAGAAAAATGATACTTAGTTTAATCTATTCATTTGTACTTCTGAATCAGAATCAAAAGGTTTTCTCTGCCCCTAGCAGAGATGTAATTAAGGTAGTATCTACGTGATTTCTTGAATGGGGCTTACCCAAATAAGAAAAAAATCCAATTATTAGTCTAATTGGGTGAATTATGTTAAAGTGAGAAACTATACTAAAAAAATTTCCACTAACATGGTATGTAAGAGGAATGTTGAAGGTTTGGGATGGGGAGGTTGGCCTTGAGAAGTTCCTCTCTTTTGATGAAATGGTTGTGTTTTTTCTATTGGATTTAGATAATCTTGACACACTTTATTTTTTGTCCTTGAATCGATGAGAAATGGTTGGGATTCATGTCTAATTACAAGAACGTATTTGGCTTCTTCTGGACAGCTATTTCCTCACTCAGGTGTGTTTTTGCAACATATTAGCTATGCTGTGCTTCTTGGAAAAGAACTAGATTTTGGGAGGATCTTTCGTAGAGAGAGTTGCCTTTAAAAGATGAGATTTCCTAGTTTGTGTGCTCTATCTCAATACAAAGATAAGTTTGTCTCATTATGTTTCTTTATCAGATCAAGGGTGTACATGGGATTTAGGTTTGGGAAGAGCCTTACGGATTTGGAAACTTTTCAAGTCATTGGTCTTGTTGGATCTTTGGAAGGAGTTTTCTTTGATAGATCTAAATCTAATTATAGAATTTGCTCCAAAAACCATTCTGGCTTTTTTACTTGTGCAACTTTCTTCAAGACCTTTAAGGACTGATTCCTTTTTTACATTTCTTTTTTGTGAAGGCCTTTTGGAGTGCATTGTACCACAAAAAATGACCTTTCTATCTGGAGGTAATTAACAGGAAAATCAACATTTGTGAATTTTTTCTCCTTTGTGTTATCTTTTTTTTTTTTTTTTAAATCAAAACTAAAATGTGTTTCTTATATAAGGGAAGTTGTTGATCTATTTTCCATTTATTAATCTGCTATCCTTTTGTATCTAGAATTTGGGAGTTCTTACTCTTGGATGCAGGTGGAATCCCTTAGGGGATGTGGAAAGTGTTTATGGCGTCTCTTTTTCCTCTCCATTGAAAATGGGAGGGAGGGTTTTGTATAGATGTGAAGGGATGCAGCTACAATCTTGTCGATAGTTTGAGGGAAAAGAAATGTTAGAATTGAGAACATTTGTGTCAACGTTGTGCTTTGGACAAAAATATTCAATATGTTTACCCAAGAGGCCAATACCACAAATACTGGGACCAACATTGGGTAATGGTCTTTTCTTGATGAAATAATTAGAGGTAGATCCACTAGTTGCTTTTGTTGGATTTCTCTAAAAACCTCACTACATGAAATTAAATTTTGATGGGCATTGCTTGGTAACTTCGAGTGACCTAACCATTTCTGGCTTTGGTGGTGTTTTCCAAGAATAGTCATTGGAGATTTTATGTTTATTTTCTTTGGACCTATAGGTTACACTGTTACAGTGATTTCACAAGAGTCAAGTTACTAGCGGTAGCAGTATGGTATTATTAGTATGGTCTAAGAATGGGTAATGCTTACAAATTTTGATATTGGCTCTTGGAAATATAGATACAAAATGAAAGAAACACTATATAGATGGCAAGGGAATCAAGAACATTTTGTATGGAATATGGATACAAATCAGCCAGTAGCCTAATTTATGAATTGGCTATGTAAGGGATAAATAGAAATAACTTGTATTGGTGGAACATCCTTTGCTGGGGTTTGGATGTAGTAATGCAAGCAAAAGTTTGACTAGAACTATTTTGGATCACCAGCCATTGTGTTGATTGAAGAGAATGTTTAAATTAGGCTATCACCCTTAAGATTTGAGAACATGTGGCTAAAGCTTTGGAAAGGGTTTAGGTTCCACAAGAAATTGTAGTATATGAAGGGGAGACTAAATCTATGGAATAAAGAGACTTTTGGGAGTGGAGGAGAAAAATGCTTCTACAACAATGTAGATGGAGGTGTTGGATAAGGAGGAGACGGAACAGTTATCTTGGGAGGAATCTTTGAAGAGATGTGAGTTAAAGGATGAATTTAATATGTTATTTAAAAGGGAAGAGATAAGTTGGAGATAGAAGTCAAGGTGTAGATAAATGAGAGAGATTGGAACCCTAGATATTTCCACTCAACAAGGCCCAATCTGACATCTGATCCGATTATCTCAGATTCGGATTATGTTTTTATGTAATTGGATTGGATTTGGACTTGACTCCATCTGATCCGACTAAAATCTGAATCCGATCATATTATAATATTTATTGATTTTAATACATAAATTTTATATAATAATATTTAAAGCTATAAAAAATCATATATTATATTATATATAATAAATTCAGTATGTATATTTACATTAAGTTGTTATATATAAAAGTTGAAAAGTAAATAAGTTTTTTAATTTTTTGTATTTAAAAAAATTAAAGCGGAGTCGGATTAAATCCGAACCCAATCCAAGTCCGTCAGGATTCGAATTTAAACCCGATCGGATTTCGGATCGGAATCGGATGCAAGTTTTCCATAATTGGATAGGAGTCTGATTTTGCCGAATCTGATCCGATTACAGCTCTACATCTAACTAGTGAATAGTAAATCGTGGTTTATTGGCAGTATAAAAACCTAGTATTCAAGGTTTCATTAGAAATCATATATAAAAACATTTATGATGGTTGGTTCACTTAAAAATACTAAAGATAAAGTTCATCGTCTAATCTTTAGCTTCCTTATCTTATAATTGTGCTCTCTGATATGTTTTTATTGTTATTCATTGTTATATATTTTCCTCAAGATGTCTTAGAGATTGTGCTCTCTGTTATTTTATTTGGGTAATTTTTTTTTTCATTAGTTTACCTTGGGTAAATTAATCAACTCTTAATGCTCTTATTGGGAAAATGTCTATCTGTTCAGTGTCTTGCTATTTTTTTTTTTTTTTTTTTGTTTATGAGCTTTATTCTTGTGCCTGTCTCAACCAATTTTGTTCTGATTCATTGTCCAGGATGTTATTCTTTACATTGAAAAAGCTTTTGGTGTTGGTTATATGACTAATCAAGGTGACAATGGAAACACCACACATCAACCTTCAAATCCAGTAGTGAAATCTTCCTCCACACTAAGCAATTCAACTGCTCCAGATATATCTAATTCAGATTCGGTTGCCAATTCAAATGCCTCAGAAAATCCTTTATCGAGAACCTTATCAGATGAGGCACTTGACTATGAATCTCTACTGTCAACACTGGATATTAGTGGGCCTAGGCCAGCTAGCCTACCATCATCACATGATTTGTCGAGAATGACGGCTGATCGGCCTACTCCTGCTGTTGATCTAAAGTTGAAGCTGCATCTTTACAAGGTCCGACTTCTGCTTCTCACTAGAAACCTAAAGGCATCAAAGCGAGAAGTTAAGCTAGCTATGAACATAGCACGTGGTAGAGATTCTTCCACAGCATTGCTTTTAAAGTCCCAGCTAGAGTTTGCTCGTGGTAATCACCGTAAAGCAATCAAACTCTTGATGACATCAAGTAATAGGACAGAATCAGGGACGCCAAGCATATTCAACAACAATCTAGGGTGCATCTATCATCAACTAGGGAAAGACCACACTGCAAATGTATTTTTCTCCAAGGCATTGAGATGTAGTTTGTCACTCCGGTCAGAGAATCCTCTTAAGCTTTCAACTTTCTCACAAGATAAATCTCTCCTAATTGTGTACAACTGTGGGCTGCAATACTTGGCATGTGGCAAACCTTTAGTTGCTGCACGTTGCTTTCAGAAGGCCAGTTTAGTTTTCCATAGTCGGCCCCTCCTATGGCTCCGGATGGCTGAATGCTGTATACTTGCACTTGAGAAAGGTCTTTTGAGATCTAATGGTACTCCCACTGATGGTGAGGTTAGGGTTCATGTTATTGGAAAAGGGAAATGGAGGCAACTAGTTGTGGAAGATGGGAACTTGAGAAGTAGGCATTTGAATTCTATGGAAGAGAATGATGAGTTTTTGGGTGGTGATAGTCAACAAAAGTTCTCAATGCCATTTGCTCGGCAATGTCTTCTCAATGCACTACATTTATTGAATAGATTTGAGTCAAAGCATCTGAAGGCAGATTTATCAAATTCTGTCTTGGAGGAAGATGAATCAAACCAATCCTCATCACTGAAGAGCTCAAACCACAAGAATTTGTCAGTAGGGGATTCAAAAACATCAAATGCAACATTAATTTCTGCCTCGGCTAATGCAAATGGGGACACAAAAGAACCAAAGGGAGGAGTAAGTCCCAACACTGCCTTACAGAGTTCTGTATCTTCTTACAAAGATATGTACAGAAGAGAGAACAACATGATCAAGCAAGCTGTACTAGCAGACCTTGCATATGTGGAGTTGAATCTGGAAAATCCTTTGAAGGCACTAGCTGCTGCAAAGTCTCTTTTGAGGCTTCCAGAATGTTCAAGGATATACATTTTCCTAGGTCATGTATATGCAGCTGAGGCCTTGTGCTGCTTGAATCGGCTAACGGAAGCTGCTGAGCATTTGTCAGTCTATGTTACAGATGGGAAGATTGAGTTGCCATACAGTGAGGAAGACAGAGAAAAGTGGCGAGTTGAGAAAGGTGGAGAAGGTGAAGAGGCAAATGGTGGTTCACTGGCTCCCAAGAATCAACCTGCAGAAGAATCTCAAGGTATTGTGTTCCTCAAACCAGAAGAGGCTCGCGGGACCCTATATGTAAATCTCGCCACCATGTCCATTATCCAAGGCGATATTGATCAGGCCCAGAGGTTTGCAACCGAAGCACTATCTGCATTACCCAACAACCCAAAGGCCGTTGTCACAGCTGTTTATGTGGATCTCCTGCAAGGGAAGTCACAAGAAGCACTCTCAAAGTTGAAACAATGCAGCCATGCCAGATTTGTCCCAGCAGTGTAACATGAAGAGATCTTCCTGATGGTTGTATTGGTGGCCTTAATTGATCAAGTGTCCAGCCCAACACCCTGTTTGAGTTTTACCAGGTTGACGAAGGAATTGCCTAGGATATCTGTAACATATATATGATGAGTCGTAGAATAAGCTTTTTCTATGTTTAGGGTTTGGTGGCATGGCACTTTTTGTTTACCGCAGATGCCCCCGTTTCAGATTCAAGTGTAGTTTTTCTGATTCAGATTACTATGATTAGTGGCTAATCCAGTTGGCATTCAACAAGGAAGGGGGGAGAGATACGGTCTCTTCTCAAGGAAAAAAAATTATTCATTCTGGAAAGTAAATGCAAATGCAAAATCAAGGTCAATTCCTATGCAAGAGTCTTTTCTTTTCTTTTCTTTTCTGGTTTTCTACTCTGGTTGTAGTAGCAGGAGAAAAGCCAGAAGAAATAGCAATCAATCGTGTCATACAGAGTACTGATCCTCTTATTTGAAGGCGCCTTCACGGCTTTAACCATCTTTCGCTGTTCTCTTTTGTTGTTTTCCGTTTCTTGTTTCTTTCACCTCAGGAACTAATGCAACATTGAGCTTTACACGTCAACCAGATGCAGAGTGAGTGCTTTCACTTGACCAAACGCTTGGTGCATTGGCCTTTTGCCATCGGAATCATGTATTAGTATTACCTTATATTGCAGCGTCTCATGCTTTCACCTCTGTATGCAAGCTTGTATTAGATTCGGCTTAATTTTAAAGGGATCTATCACAATGGCCAAGATCATACCCAAGAATTGAACGGTTGCATACTGAGGACTGGCCACAACAGAACGCAGCAGGATTGGATGAATACGATCCCAGGTGAATGTTCTAAAAGGAAAGCTTACAGAGTTACAGGTATATACACCATTTTGTTGCATGGTATGACGTCTTCTGTTGTTTTGCAGAGAGGTTTCACTTTCACAGGCTGACGGTGGGACTGCAGAGCAGACTGCTGGTATTTGGTCTGTCACCACCTTAAAATCAGCAATAAAATGACAAATCCCGGAAGAGCAGAGAGAAAAGTGAGACTGGGGAGACCAAGAAAACTTTTCATCCCTTCGTTTAAACCAAGCGCTCGTTTCTGTCAACGGTCCTGCCATAATGATTTCACTTTCGTATGCTTTTGTACTGCATTCCGGAAGGGATCCTGGAGCTCCTCACTGAATGCACCACCTCACACCAACTTCACTTCACCTGCTTGCATTAAGAACATTTTCCCATGAATGACAACTTACAAGCATGGTTCACTATGTCTGTCTCCAACTGTTGGAGCTTGGGAGTTCAAATCATTGGGAGATGTTCTCAATACATGGCGGGGATGTGCTGTGGGACGTCATGGGTGCAGATCTAAAATCGGAACTTGGAGGATATGGTTGTTACTTCCATTCCTTCTGTATTATTTTCGAGTGCGCTTCACACCAACCTCACAGCGCATTGCAAGTGTGCATTGAATTTGAGAGCATTCCAGCTCCTTTAGATGATGTTATCATTCATCCCAACACACGGCTGGGATGTGCTGTGAGGATGGTATGAGGCACGCTTTGTGAAGAACAGATCTGAACTCATTATTGCCTGCGTGCCAAATCTATGGGCTGTTGTTTTTTCTCTATTCTACACAAATTTCAAGTCTTCGTCATACTCCTATTTTTTGTGAAATGCAATCAATATTACGTGTTAACAAGAAGCGGGGTTCAGAGAAAAAGTCCCTTTATAAATCTTTCAAAAGTTTGATAGTTTTCACATACCAGGATTATCTTTTTTATCTTTTTATTTTGTTGGTCAGCATCTGGATTATCTTATTTACTGTGCATGTATTAAAACGGCTATGTTTTTACAAGTGAAGCAAAGAAACTTTCTTGTGTTGGAGCAAAAAAAAAAGTATTAAATAGTTAATAAGTTATATTTTTTGGTTAAAAAACTAAACAAGATGCTCAAATCACAGAACATTAAAAATGACGGGACCAAGAATGGCCAATGTTGATGGCAGCTTAAACCAACCTGAGTGACAGGTTAAAGATGGGATGGGATCATACAATGGGATGCTGGTGGAGAATGTCATGGAGGCAAAGTATAATGACTTTTAATATTTGATTCTTATATTTATTTATCTAAAAGGGGGAGATAAAGGGTATCACATAGGTCTTTATTTTTTATGAAGAAAAAAGAATGGAGAAAACTAGTGTTCTGCATATATCATGATGTATATACATATTTGAGTTATTTGACAATCTTGACTGAATCCTAACCACCCTTATTTTTCAAGTTCTTCCATTCATATCTATATTGGAGCAGTTCTGCAATAGAGAGCCCTTGTGCCCGGAAGTCATTTGTGCAAAGCACACAAGGGTTCTGGTTGGTTCAAAACATGGACTCTTCCATATGGTTTTATTCTGCTGAGAGTTACATACCCTCTCCCCTTTTCGTAGGATAGCAAAGTTCTTTATCTTGTGGTCCACGTTTTTGATGTAAATCTTTTCTCCACTTTTCTACTTTTAGCTGATCCAGATCCAGCTCCATTTGAAGTTGGGTTGCAGTTGGCTGTGCCTTAGGTTGGGCTTGAGTTGGGAGGTGGGACTCATGTTGAGGTTCCAGGCAATTTCAACCAAACCAAGCTGGATCATGTTTGTCTTTTTAGTTTAGTTGAAAAGTTTATGGATGCTATTCTTGGGAAAATTAGATATGGACATAAAGGCAGGCTATGCCTCTCCCTTGTTCTTATTTCCTTTCTTGTGGTTCTATTTAATAAAATTTCAAGGCAGGCCATCCTTTCTTGTGGTTCTTATTTCCTTTATTTAATAAAATTTTAATAAAATAGATCCATCCATGACAATTTTTCGGGGCCCTCATCAGTTAAGCTGTTTGTATTGTCATTCGTTCATGTGGAACAAAGTCCATGAACCTACTTCTAAAGAATATGTTGTAAAATTAGTAAATGAGAAGGGAACGAAACTTGTTTTATGCTTTCTGAACCCGGAGTGCAGCAATGTTGTAGAACCGCTTTTGGAGATGCAAATTGTGGTCTGAGAAAATTGTAAACTTGGATGGGCTCCGTTATACCACTTGATCATTCTCCTTAAAACCCTCTTTACCCCCTTATGGTGCAACTGGATCTCTGCAAATTGCTTTACAATATGAAACAACCCACAGACTTCTAGTAGACGTGCACTTGCTTATTTTCTTTCAAAGAGTGTGCAAGGCCTTATTTGAAGACACAGAAACGTGAAGAGATACAAAGCAAAAGACAGAAAAATAAAAATGTAAAAGTCAAAATGGTTTAAGTAAATTTGAAACAAACTGTCAAAACATGATAAAAAGATATGGTATGACGTGCTGCACATCCATGCCCACGACCCAACCTGTGAATTGATAAATTTCTATTTTTAACGAGTTTTAATGGTTTTTAGGGTTTTCAAATATATAAAAGCTTTTTTTCTTGAATTTTTTGTCAACCACAATAACAAAATTTCGTATTATTGTCTAAGGGCTAAAAATAACCAAAATTTTGGTTTTTAAATATTTTGGGTGGGAAATGAATCATTTCAGCAGATTGAGAATGCTTCCTCAAGCTAAGCAGTCTTCAAGTTCCTCCTTGCCTCTTCCACCCTTAAATCTCTTTGCCACAGGCTTCTGATATGTAATCAAGACTGTAAGAAAAGTATGCCCGATTGAATTTCCAAACAAAAACACTAAACGCCTAAGGTCCAACTCTTTGTGTGGGGCTACATTGTCTTCTGGGTCAATTATATCCATGAAATAAGTAAGATCCTAAACAAGGTATAGCAATATTCATGTACAATTTGGAATAAAAATTTGACATAAGTTACATGCAAACATTTTTTTTTTTCAAAATTATAAAAAACATGTATTATATTTTTTTGTCCCATATTATTTTTGAAAATTAGTACTCTTCAAGTATTATATATGTTCTTTGATAATTTGCACTTCTTTTCATACTACTAACATGATTTAATTCAAAAAGAAAAAAAAAAGAAGAAGAAGAAAGTTAAAAGGAAAAAAAAGCAACATAAGAAGGTTTATTTACTATGATTAAACTTGATCTCACCATGATGAATTTTGGTAGATGGAACCCATTAATGGCTAGTCCTAATTCTCTGAATGAACCGACCGGGTCCTTGTTTTATCGAAGGATACACGACATTCATGTTGTAAGTCTATATATACAAATCTTTTCAGCAAAAGCTGTACAATTATCCTTATTTTGGGTCCATTAATCCATTAATCAATCTTATTGGTCTTTCTTCAGTTCATTCTTTTCTTTTCTGGTGTTCATTTAATAATTGGTCTTTGAACTTTGAATGCAGAGCAAAACTACATAAATAGATTATTTCCAAGCTACGGGCCATCCCATCAACAGACACAGCATGTTCTGGCAAGAGAAGGGACAAATAGGGTTCATGTGCTAAAGCTTGAATTGTCCCAACCCTTTGCCATCATGTATCATCTCACATATTCTGTGTTGCTCTTTTGGGAAGTGAGGTGGAGCAGATGGTTAGGACCCATACCTTGAAAACACAGAAATTTCCACTTCTAGTAGCTAGGTTAAATAATTTCAGAATAAGCTCTTCAGCTTTTGGTGTTAAGACACAAATCACAGAACTATTAATGTTCAAGCTACACAGCCGAATAACTAAGCACCCTTAACGGCAAAAGCACACCAGCTGGTCTATACCTCCCCAAAATTTGATCAAAGTGAGCATAGACAGGTCCGACACCAATGGAGGGATGGCTATTGGAGCCAAGTGTATTGAACACAGTATAACCCTAAAGTGGTTGGCAGAAACCATTTCAATTCAAAGTTTTTTTTAGCCACCCTGGTGAATTCAGAGTTTCAGAATTCAGACAGTAATTCTTGACTGAATACACCTCATGCTTATATGCTCACAATAGGGTTGCCCACACTTTGGCTAGCTAATTATGGTGTTGATCACAAACATGTTGTAACATGGTCCCTCCCTCTTTGGAATTCATTCATTCTGATGAGTTGTCAGAGTATTTGTAACGGAGGTTTGTTGATTAGTGGAATCAGCCAAAGGGCTTTCATCAAGAAAAAAAGAAAGGAAGGCTGAATGTTATTTTCCATGTAAGTGATCATGCATTTAGTCAGATATATATGGACCACACCCCTTCTTGGGATTGTTCTTCCATTAACCAACAGGTGTAGACTGTAGCGACCTGATATCTGGACCTTAATGAACCGTGACTTACATTTTTGGGTAGCCATATTTTACAAATTGAAAATCTGCTTTCTTTTAATTTCTTAGAGTTGGCCGGGTTTTGAATGGAAATACTGAGATCATGTATTAATTATTATTGTACAAAATTGTAAATACAATAAATCGTGTCTCTATCCCCGTCTTAACCTATGTTAGAGCACCAATAACTATATTTAGAAACAAGGTGGAATGGGTAAAATTTCATTATTTCATTTTTTTTCTAAAACAGTAGCCCTAAATTTAGGGTTTGGAGGGGTAGGTTGTTCTGGCCTTCTGGGAGAGCCAATTGCTTCACCAATTTAGAGGGGTGTTTGGTACAGTGGCGTTGCTTTGTTGTTGCATTCTGAATTGATCAATATCCAGCAATTTGTATGAGAAAATTTTTTACCTATACATATTGTTCTTTCTACCTAGCTAAGAGGTTAAATTTGACGACGTTTCAATCATAAATGACACTAGATCGTATGATGTGGCAATACATATCTTTCATTTGTATTTATCAACCCAAAATGCAACTACAGTGCAATATTGCCATTGTACCAAATACCTCCTTACACTCCTCTGTCATGTACAAAGGATTGGAACCACGTACGTATATGAATTGATCCCACCTGCAAAAATGGAAGCTGGTGTATTGCTACTTATCTTGCTAGCATGGTTTTTAAAAACGATTCGGAGACCGAACCGGTCAGGGATCCGGTTATCGGGTCAAACGGTCTGACCATTTGAACAGAATGGTTGACCCGTTCATAAAAAAATAAAAAATAAAAAACAAAAAATGGTCAAAACCGTTTGAACGGTTTAAACAATTAATCGCCTGGTTCAGCGATTTGCTGACCAAAATCAACGGTTTTGGACAAATTTATGGTTTTAGAGAAAACTGAAACCGGTCAACTGACCAGTTCCTGGTTTTTCCGATCTGACCGTCCGGTCCGGTCTGGTTTTGAAAAGCATGCTTCCTAGTGCTCACTTCTCAGAAAGGAGGTTTTGATTTAAGTATCGCTTTGGGACATAATATTACTTGAAAAAGAAACATTGCATATTGACAATCAAAGCTATTGGATACTTCCCTCCCCAAATATCTAATCAAATAAAGCTACTTCTCTCAAGCCAGAAAAAGTGAGTCAAGGTTTCATAATTTCTGATTGAATTAGACATGCCTAGAATTTTTGGCAATCTATACATAGTCATAGTGCAAAATGAGACCAGAGAAACTGATAGTACCAAATAGAAATAGAGAAAAATAATAGAAAAGAGAAGTAGACACAACAAAGCACAAGGACATTACATAGCTTGTAGTAGGATGCCCTACACCCACAAGTGAAGATAACCAAACTAAACTACTATATTAAAGGGTGATTATAATGAAAGATCAGACATGAAAATAGAGCCAAAATTGTCAAAGAAAACTCTCTCTAGCTTCCTAACAGTGATGCTTTCTCTCCAAATCAATGTTCTTCCCAGCCAAGCTTGGAGACCCAGTTGTGAACAAGTAATGTCCACTGATAATGCACTCAAATTAATGCTAATTAGTGGATTCTTTTTAGGTATTGAATTCTAATAGATTAAGGAGAAATGATGAAATCGTTCTATTCTTGGTTAATCCTTATACCAGCCACTCCAGTAGCAGACAGCATAAGGCTGTGGAACACAGACAGCCAAATTAAAGTTCTCTCAACAATGAGCACTCCAAGGGACCCACCAAGAGAGCATTAATCAAATGAGCACCGGGAATTCTGGCATGTATTTCTCTAGTTATGTCCCACACCAGAGACCTAGGTCAGAACTGAGAATGGTAAAATTTGTCCACAATGAGATCATTTAATTAGGAATGTCATGATCTGGATCATCTGATGGATAAGCCAAATCCTTGTAGTCTGGCCTCTCTGGTTAATGGGTTGGCCGCCCTCTGATTATCAGTGGTGATCCAAATGTATCAACAGTCTCTCTTTCTCTCTCTCTCATACTTCAAAGCTACCAGGCCAAAATTGTCATTGATGCAAAGGTAGTAAGTACAGTACTAGTGGAGAATAAAACCTCCAGTTAATCACATTTCTCTTTTTAACCTTTGCCTTTAGATTATCATTGTTGTCTCAACTCTAGCAGATTCCCTAATGAGAAACCCACTTCACGTGCTCACAGTTGATTAAAAAAAGGTCTACATATTCCCAATAGAAAAGTGTAAATAAATACTGAGGAGCGATGCAATCCAAAAGGGAATCTGAATATCAGAAATGGAATTGTATAGAAAGATAAAAGCATCCCGCTTTCTCCATTGATACAAAATTAAAACACACATACAACAATTGCATAAGAACAAATGTGTACTATAAAAGCAAACATCAGTGGTACCAATCGAGGAAGGAACTACAAAAAAATTAACGAGAAGATGAAAAAGCAAAAGAAGGCAAAAGTTGGTTCGACATCCTTTCATGTCGATTCCGTCGTCCAAGCATTCATCATCAATCTAAAGACCTGCATCCACAAACACAGTAGCACCCAATGAGAAAAAGAGTGAATCATCCCCAACACCGAGAAGAAGAGAAGATCAAACCGATCAACAGTTTAAAAAGAATGCAGACCAGATTACATAGACTATAATCATGTAATTTCATGCTCTTTTTCCCAGAGAGAAAGAGAGAGATCAAAGCGAATTAAAATCTGTAATGATCTAGAAAGTTCTTTTATCATAACCAGTAACAAATGTGTATAGTGAAAACGTGAATATATAGTTAGAAACTTCAAGAAATCATTTCAGTGATAATCAAAAGAAAAGGCTGGAAATAGTACTAGATTGATAGTTCAACAGATTGAACACTACAAAAAGAGAGAGTTGAGAGTTGAAAATCATAGTCATGAAGAGAGCTCAGGGATTAGGGTTTTTAGTTTGAGATCTCGTATATATACTTAACTATTGGATCTAGAGTGTGCAGGTGTAACCAGGAGGAGGTGTCTTCCCACAAGTAACAAGGAGCTGAAGAGCAAGTGGGAGGTAGATGTTGATGTTGAGGAGCTTGACTTTGAGAGTAGTGCACAAGCAGACTGCAGCTTCGAGCTCAACAAGCCCCTCGAGCAATGGGCAGCACTGGTTCACAACTGGGTCTCCCAGACCAATGTGCACCAACCCGCCCAGGAGGTCCACACAGGCTCCGAGCTTGAGTGTGTCAATTGGGCATGTCTCCGGCTTCTTTGCGGGTGGTGGGCAAGGCTTTCCGGTGGGTGGTTTCACAGGAGGACCAGTCACCGGCGGGTATGTTACGGGTGGGTTCAGGATTGGAGGGACGGTAACAGGCGGCAGTTTAATGGGTGGTTTTACGATCGGAGGGACGGTGACCGGCGGAGTAACGACGGGAGGGAGGGTGATGGGACCCTTTGGAGACTTCACCTTGGGCTTCTTATGCTTCGGAGGGGGCTTGCTGCAGTAACCACAGCCAAGGATGGGAGTGGCTGAGGAGATGAAGAGCATGCAAATGATAAGAAGCGCAGAGATCTTAGAGGAGTCCATGGCCTTGGATTAATCTCCTCCCTGCCGCTTCGATCCTTTGATCTTCACTTGGTTTGATTGTGTGGATGCAGAGAAAGCTTGGGTCTCTTATAGAAGCGCTGAGGAGTGCAAAAACAATAAACCATTCACGTGAAGATGGCAAAGCCCCCAAAAAGCAACTGCCAAATCTTGCTAGTTGGCAAATGCTTCACATACATGCATTATTCTTCTCCAATTGTTTCTAGTATATATTATCAACTCTTTTTGTTTGTTTTTATCTTTTTGGGTTACTGAATCTAGGGCTTGAATGTTCAGGTCCGAGTCCGAATGGGGTAAGTATGCATTCACTCTGGATTTCTCATTTCTGTACGGGCCGGATGCTGAAGGAAGATGCACATATAATGGGAATTTTGTTTGCATTCTTGTTGGATTTGGGTTGGGGTTTTGTTCTATAATGTGGACCTTTTGTCAAGATCCAAACCCATCAAGTGTATGTATGGAGAAGGTACAATTTCGGGTCAACCCACTCCAGTTCATGATCTGAGTAATCAATCTATGGTTTAAAAGTATTAGAAAGCAATTAAAGTATTAAACCACACTTTGTATAGAAGATGGATACATGATTAATGAAATATAAACTAGAGTTGTAAACATCTATGAACCACCAGTCACCAGATTAGTTGAAGAAATACACATTTAGGGAAGTTTAGGGAAGAATTAATATACATTTGATCAAACAGTTACCAAAAAAAACATTTGATCAAACAATTACAGTTGTTGTATTCCAAGCAGGAATCCTTCCCTTTCTAAATCTTGGACATGGATGTCAGTGATTGGCTTGTTGTGATTATCCAGTTGGGCTGGATTTCAGTCTGATGAGATATTATTTCTGCCCACATCACATGGTGGGTCTCTTTTTCAGATTATCAATTTCTGTTTTAAGTCATCCTGCTGCAATTTGAGGGGCTTACTGTCCCACCCATCAGTTCAAATTTTGTCCATCAAATGGGCCAGCTGCCACATGTTGCATGTGCATGCAATGATCCAAGATCCATCCTAGCTGTATTTTGATTGGTTGCTTTGATACAAAAGGAAAAAGTAGAATTGGAATTGAGCCCATGGAATTCCATACTTGTTTATTTTTCAGTTTTTTACCCATGCATCTATTGACACAGGGGTAAAGGTTCCAACTTCTAATAGCTTGTGAAGGTTTAGACCTTTAGGTAGAGTTGAGTTCTTTCTACGTACACTAATTCGAACTTGTTTACTATGTTTCTAGTATATACATTTAAAATTTACCCTTAAATTTGTTGTCTTTGCCTATGTTTTGAGTGTGTTTTTTTAGTGCTTACTCAAATAAGTACTTATTTTGGATCAGGGCCAAAGGGCCATCCAACAACAACTTGTTTGCGTTTGGGAAATAAGCTCAGCAAATAAGACTTATTCTTGAAAATAATCACTTATTCAAACAGCATAAATTTTGAGTTTTATTTTTAAGCACTTATTTTCTTTCTGTCCCATTTTGGCCCATCATGTCATTTTGGAAATACTCTTTTTCACCAAACATTCATGTGCACTTACTAGAATAATTACTTATTTTAAGGCACTTTATTAAATAAACACTTATTTAACAAATAAGCACTCCCAAATGGAGACGTCCAAACTAAAACCATTAACTCTCTCTTTCTCTCTTAATATAACTATAGTAAAAGTGTAGAACTAGACATATATGTAACTATTTTTGTACTTACATGTATGTAAGCATGTGGCACTGGCCACTGGATTTATAGGGAAATGTGAGATCTAAGAGGATGGTTGGAGGACGGCGAAGAAAGTAAACATGCATTAAGATATAACATTTTCAGAGGCAAATTGTATAAAGAACATGGGTGAGAGAGAGATGTATGTAGGGCTATAGAAGGAGCCTAGGAATGATGGAAGAAAGATTAGAATGGCGGATGAGGGTTCAGATCTACTACCCACAATTTGTTTCTACATTCCTGTTCACAAGTAATTACAACTGCACATTAAGAATATCTCTCAGATGTTCTTCACATGGCGGTGGTGTTCTGTGGGTATAGATGTGGGAACAATTTGTGAGTAACTGATCGGGAGTGGGTGGATCAACAATACAAGGGTGTGCGTTAATGAAATGTGCAGCAAAGAAGGTGGTTAGGAAGAAGTGGTAATTGGCTTGATGGTAGTTTTGGGTGTGAGGTACTGAGATGGGTCGTCTCTCTCTCTCTCGATCTGTATTTGTATTTCTATGTGACTGCATGTAAAGTGCAGACTGCACCTTGTGTACATCCGTGACTTTGGTTTATTCGTTAACCCTAGGGTTGGATGGGTTTGGAATTTTGTGGATACGTGATTCTGCTGTTCTCTCTTTGATGTGATGAGTCCTGGGTCGTCTCCTCCACCTTCATTCCATATCACTTCCTCTCGTCAGTCCGGATCCTGACTGAACGTTTAATATCCATGCTTTGAAACTCCAACGTAGTGTGTGTGATCAGTTGATATAGTTGTTAGCTGACAAAATTTGATGAGCTTCATTGGTTTGGGCTGTGTGGGTTCCGAGCTAGAGACAGAAGCTGGATTTGGTGTAGTAGTCATAGCTGACTCCACTCTCTGATAACAATTAAGGTATTATAATGTGTGCCTGTGTGGCTTCCCAGAGACATCCACAAATTGTTGAGCGTTGAGAGCAAGCTGTTTTGTGGTCGGGAATCAGGATAACATAAGCTTCCTTGCCAAACACACCTCAATACCAAAGAAATTTAAGCAAAGGGAGTGTTTATTTTGTCCACGAGAAATGAGAGCAGGGTTCACTGGGAAAAAAAAGGAGAAACAAGGGCCATGCATATTTTCCTTCTCTTTCCCATACTATAGTTAAAATTCATTGAAATCTAATTTTTCATACCTATTTTCCATATTGGAATTGAAATAATCCATTCCGATTCCGATTCTAGACCCCTATTAATCTCGGGGAACAAACGTGGCCTAAATTTCTTCACTTTCAACATGAGTTTGGTATGAGGAATGTTTATTGCTATACAAGCTAGTTTTAAAATTAAGGTCAAAATAGTAAAGCAAAAACATTTAGGCGCAGAACTAATGAGTGATGATCCAATTGAAAGAAAATTTCATGTATATGTGGGCGCTATAAGATGTATAACCAAACACAATAGAAGGGAGATAACCAGTTAACTGATTAGTTTCTTCCCTAGATCATATTATTGTTTTAATATTGTTATCCCAGACATTAATTGTTCTCTGATTTTAGAACTTTCTGAACTGAAATCAGACAAGAAATAATAAACACCCACCATATATATAAAATCTCTAGATTGGATTATTAGATGCTTAGTATTTGTATATAATACTTATTTATTTCTCAAACTTAAATTTTGACAATATTTAAAAGAAAATCTAATTTCATTACATAAAAAATTGGCATTTGAAGGGCATATGTGAATTTCCTTTTATATAGTTTTCGTTTTCATCAATAAGATTAGATGCTTTTAAAGGAGAAACTTATCCCTTACTTAAATATAAGGGGGCCTTATAATCCCTACTTAGGGGTGTGCTTTTTGAAATAAAATTTTACTGTTTGAGGCCTCATTTGGTTTGCAGGAATAGGGGTATGGAATTAGAATCGGAATAGATTATCTGGTTCTAGCTGTTTGGTTGGATAGAATTGGAATCTTATTCTCATTCCTGCTGGAATGACACATTCTCCCATTTGAGAGAATGGTCATTCCCTACGTACCCTTGGGAATAAAATCTCATTCCTGCTGATTTCAATTCCCATTCTCATTCCTATCTGAACCAAACAAATTATGGAAATAGACGATTTCGGGTCCGTTTGATTTGTAGTTGGAATTTCCTATCTGAACCAAACAGATTATGGAAATAGACGATTCTGGGTCCATTTGATTCGTAGTTGGAATCGGAATAGAAATCCTCCGGAATTGGAATTGGAATCGGAATGGTCCATTCCCATAATTTGTTTGGTTCAGACAGGAATGGAAATGAAAATTAAAATTAGTAGGAATGAGATTTCATTCCCAAGGGAGAGGCAGGGAATGACCATTCTCTCAAATGGGGAAATGCCATTCCAGTAGGAATAGGAATGGGATTCCAATTCCGTCCAACCAAATAGTTAAAATCAGAATAGCCAATTCCAATTCCAATTCCAAACCCCTATTCCTACAAACCAAAAAGACCATTCGGTTCTTACTATAAACCAAGCGGACCCTTAGTTTTATGAGAAGACAAAAATAGTAAGAATGGAATCGAGTTTTATATTAGGGCACACTACAGCCCAAGAAAGCCCTAAACTATGGCAGTCGATATAGATGAATGACAAGCACCTTCAAGACTAAGACCAATTACCAAACACAGTAGAATGCTCGTGTTTGTGTCTATACAGATATAGCATAATGTCTTGGGTTTGTTTCATCTTTAAGAGTTGGACTAAAGTATAGTTAGTATAGTCAGTACTCATCGGTGGAGATCTGAAGTCTACTTCAAGGGGTGACCAACACCAATCAAATCTTTGTAGGGTTGGCCGAAAATGATGACTCAAATTAAACTTTTACAGCTGCTTGTATATATAATTCCTCTATTTGAAAGTATGGAGCAAATTTAATTCAATTTATCATCATTTGCTCAAGGAACATTTCTGGTGCCTTCAATCAACAGTTGACAATACCAATCAACTATTCTACCAAGATTATACTATGAGCCATCATGCTTGGATTTTCTCTTTAACCTATTTATTCCATCTAGGGTGCAACTTAGCGCAGGCTTAGTCCAAGTCCAAACTGATTCAGCCCGAAATTTTATATGGATTGGACTTGGATTTTCAATCTTTGGGCTGGGTTTGGGCCAAAGAATTCAGGATTTTTTATTTTTTGGGCCGGGCTCAGGCCTAACCTTTAGATAGTCTAAACCCAGTCCAATTATACACATTCATACATACATACATATATATATATATACACACACACATATTTACCTATATACATACATAGATACATACATATATATATGTATACATATTTACATAAATGCATATATACATATATAATTTTGGAACGAATTCATTGACCAACTTGAGCTTGGTCCAAGCCTGAGCCCAACCCGAATGCACTAAATTAGGCTCGGGTTAGGAAGATCAGGCTTGACCTTG